GAAAATTAATATTTATCTGCCCCTGGCTGCCTGTCATGCTCGATGGCTTGCCAAAACTCAGTAAGCGCCCCTCTGCCAAAAATAATTGCCCACCCCTGTAGTAGATACACATGGCTGTTAGACATGCAGTCATGTTGACATGGTTTTAAAATGATCTGTTGTGAAAAGATTTGGCTTTTGAGAATACCAGAAACTAATATTTTTATTTCCAGAACAAGTATAACAGGTAGTGACTGTTAAATATTTCCTTACACCATTTGTGACACTTTTAGCCCTTCCACTGGAGAGATTTACTTAGTGATGAGGATAGTTCATTCTCCATGCACGTTCATTTTGATCTCTGTGCTTACTAAGCCCTGCAACTTGTTTACGCTTGGTACTTTTTAACTTAGAACTAAATCTGAGAATTAACATTCAATCTTCTGAAAAAACATTTCCCATAATATCTGGTCAAGCAGGTACTCTTATGCACAGCAATAAAGTAGACTTTTGTTTACAGGGTCTTTTCCATCGTGTTCTTCGTGGAGAAATTTCATTGACAAAGCTAGTGAGAATGAAGCCAGAAGAGCTTTTGTCTAAAGAACTATCTGCATGGAAAGAGAAACCAATCAGATCAGTAAGTAATTTAGCTTTGTTTCAGACATATTTCAAAGGAATTGTTGGGTTTTTGTTGTTCAACTGCTTTCCAGAGGATTTTTTTTGGCATTCTTTTCACAAAGGTTTGTTTGTTAATATTTGCCTTGAGCAAAAATAATGGAAGACTAATCTATTTTGTAGCTGTCTGAAAGTACTGAAAGTAAATGTCATAAGTACAAAAGTGATATCAACATAAGACACCTTGCAGGGATCATTTGATCTCAGCAGTTTTCCTGCCCAGAGCAGAGGGGTTGGACTTTGATCTTTTGAGGTCCCTTCCAGCCCTTAATTTTTATGATTTCTATGAAATGTGAGCTTTTTATTACAATACAGTGTTATGTTTTCTGTAGATTATGGAGTCAAGAAGTAAATCTTGTGAAAGTAAAAAATCAGCCATAAAACAAGAAACAATACCAGATGTGAATATGGAAGATTCTCCACCAGTGTCTGATTCTGATGTAAGTATAAAGATTTGTGTAAGCACCCAAAACACTGAAGAAAATAGATGACATCTGGTACTGCATGTTATTTGTCAGCAATGTATAGTTTCTAAGCATTTTCTTTAAGGATTTGCCTTTTAATGTTGGGAAGAGCACCACGCTTAATGTGCACAGTATTACAGATGCTTTTAAAATCAGGTGTTTACTTAAGTTTGCCCATTTTAAAGAGATATTAGCTGTCATAAAGAATGCTTCCGTGAGTAATCTTATGGAGGAGTGGAGGGCGGAACTGAGATGGCATTATTTTATGTTTAAAACAACTGCAGCTAAATTGATTCCAAAGACCTTGGTATATTTGAAATGATTAGAATTTTTTTGTTTGTTTTCACACTTGTTTCTTCACAGGAACAGCAGGAGTCATCCCGAGCTGCCGTGGATCAAAACAGTGCTCCCTCTCTGGATGTTTTCAGCAGTATGTTAAAGGACACGACAAGTCAGCATCGAGCCCATCTTTTTGACCTGAACTGCAAGATCTGCACGGGTAAAAAGAATTAGTTTTAGAGAAAAAGTTAACTCAAGTCTGCATATAAGAATTCCTACATGTAAAGAGAAAATTCAACACTCATTAAAGTCAACAGGAAGATGCCTTCTGACTTCTGTCGCTAGTAGGACTGAGCCTGAGTTGTGTGATGTACCATTAAGTGAATATAAACTGGTCCTCCTTGTAGCTGTGTAAAATTTGTATTGCAGTCACTTTTTTTCCATATCTTTCTTGGCACAGTCTTTTATTCAGGCATTTTAAAAAATCCTTTTTGATGAATATAACCAATTATATTTTCATTTTTTAAGGATGATAGAAAAATGCTTAACTACAGATTATATATAAATATATTTTTTTCTTTAATATGTATTGCCCTGTGGTGAACAGTAACTAAACTTTTTAAAATTAATTTACAGGTCAGATTTCAGCATCTGATGATGAACAAGCACCAAAGAAATCAAAATTATCAGCAACTTCTACTAAAAAGATGGAGCAAAAATCAAAATCAGAAATGCAGCCAAAATATGAAAGTTCTACACCAATGACAACTGCAGAGCCTGATAAAGAGAGAGAACCTGAAAATACAGTGGAATCTGAACTTGGATCTGGAACAGAAACGGTCTCTCAGACAAATTTGGAAAGAACTTACTTTCCTGCAACACAGGGACAGAATAATACAGAATCTTCTCTATCTGAAGAGTCCTCCATTTATCCTACTTCCTGTCCTGGAGGGGTTGTCACTACTGTTACTGTGTCTGGCAGGGACCCCCGGACAGCAATGAGCAGTTCTTCGGGTTCTGCAGCTGCAGCACTGCGTTCCAGTCCTGCACCTGACAAAGTTTCTGCGGGAGAAACAAAACAGGAAATACCAAAATCTGTTTTAACAGCTCCCAAATCAATATTAACAAAACCAACATCCTCACCAGATCCAAGATATTTGACTGTTCCGCAGTCACCGAATGTCAAGTACGTAAATTTGATACCAAGTCAACCCTAGTCCTAACCCAAGCTACTGACCCTTTAACATTATTATCATCTTTTACATGGGTGTGTTTGTGTTCAGAAGAGAATTTCAGACTTCTGAATGCATGTGAGCTGACTCAATAAGCCTTTTGATTTATCATCCTCTCACTTGCCCTCTCTGGTTGTTACAGTCTTCCTACAAAGTATCCATAGGTCTTACATTAACAGTAATAGATTTATAAATGTAGGTGAGTGGGAAAAATAGACTTGAAAGTGTAGTATGTGTGGTGTATGCATACAAGTGTACACACACCCTTTCTTAGTCCAGGCAATTACTCCAGATTTATATGGAGATAGCAAAAGAAGAATTTCATTCTACATTATTGTTTCTTTTTTTTCTGCTTACAGCAAGGTTGATTTAGTAAAAGGATTGGATCACTTATGCTGTGTACATATGATAGGAAATGCAAAAAAGTTCTAAAATGTTGATAAACCAGACTTTTTTCCCCTTCTTTTGCTTTTATTTTTGTTTCATTTTTTGAAAGCCTTTACTTGTAGTTATATTTAGCTTTTTAATGTGAAGTTTACAAACCTATTTAGTACTCATTTAGTGAAAGATGCTTAATCCACTTTACAGTTGTACAACAGAACAGTTGCATCCTTTTATTCCCCATCTCCACACACATGCTTTTATTTTCAGTATCCCAGGGCAGGGGGTTGGACTTGATCTCCTGAAGTCCCTTCCAACCCTAAACATCTATGAAATCTCCATGCATTCTTCTACTAAAATCCAGTTTGTTTCCTAGCATAGTTTATGTAGATAAATTATATAAGTCTTTCACTTACTTGGATTCCTTGTAAATAAACATGTTTACATTTTTGCAGCATATTTATTCACTTGCTAAAAATATATGAAATAATTCAGGGTGGACAGTAGAAGATAAAAAAAGGAAGTTCGCTTCTGACCTTCTTCCCTCCATGTTTGTGTCTTGCAGTGTCACAGAGGCACGGTCACCTCAGGATGGAGATACTTCCCTCTTTCTCTCTCGTGTCAGCACCATTTGGAAAGGATTTATTAACATGCAAACTGTGGCAAAATTTGTCACTAAAGCATACCCTGTCTCTGGGTGTTTTGAATATCTTAGTGAGGTTAGAACACACTGTGTGTATAAAATAAACCAGTATTTCCTATTATAAAGTTTTTGGTCACTTGCTGATTGTTGTCACAGTGCAAATATATCAGAACTAAATGGCATCACTTTAATCACTTCAGTAAAATTGTTTTCCTTAGCACGCTAATGTGAAAGCTATAGAAGTAAGAGGCATTTTAACCACAAATAAACTGAGAGATATCAAATATTTTACATTACAACTGTCATTTCTAATTTACTGTTGACTGAGTACACACTTGGTGTAAAACATGATTTAATATTGATGGTGACTTGAGCTTATCAGATATTTGCTTAATTTCAACACTTCTGCAGTATTCCTGAAAAAATTCTTCAGGAATTTAGTTTAACTTTCCCTTACTCAATGAATGGATATTTTGTGTAAACAGCCTCTATACTACTTTAATACTGGTAACAATGTTAAAACATAACTTCCTTGTAGAACATACAACTATTTACATAGTAGTTGTAGGATTATCAATGATAACTTCAAACAAGCATTTTTTACATGTATTAGTTATTGCACTGGGCAAATTAAGTAGTTTTCTTGTATGTGACCAATATTCTTACTTTTAACCATCTTTAATTGTGCTATGGGAGAGTTATTTAAATTGAAAGATTCTTACTATGTGGATACAGTTGCAGTGGGCTCCACAGATTAGGTTTGTGTCAATTCACAGATTAGGCCTGTGTGAAACCCAGTGAAATGTTGAAATTTTGTAGGTCCAGTAAAATAAGGTTTGATTTTCATGTTACTTCTGACCTGCATGACTTTTACTTAGGCTTCTAAATGTGTAATGTGTCAACAGTTTGCAGCATATTTTTTTCACATTTAAAAATGCATTCATTTTCGTTTAGAGCAACTATGAAGTATAGTTCTACAGTTCTAAAACAAATGCCCATTAAAATTAATTTACAAACAGAAAAAAGGCCTTGGGATCCTTGAAATCCTTTTATAGGAATTATGGCCTTGTTTTCAGCTTCACTTTGTGAAATGCTGTTTTAAAGTATATGGCTGGTACTTAAGTCATTCTTTTCTTGTAAAAAACAGTTATTTAAAATATGGCATCTACTTAAAACTTCTTTAGGGCTCGTGTTTAAAAATACTTCTGCTGCTAGACTTGATGAGCTGCTGATGAGAAGAGCTACAGCTATTTCATTTTTTTATATAAAATTTAAATTTTAATAACTACTCACTGTATCATTTGGCAAAGGCAGTCTCCAGTCAAAACAGTATGCATCTCTGAAGTCACTGGTTCCTAAATTACACTAAAGCCTCTACTTCCTGGCGTGCAGCATGTCTGAGATTGATGGTCCCCAATCTTTGCTGGCCAAGGGGCAATATTACGAACCAGGGAAACTGCCATGGGTAGCAGCATACTTTACTCTTCCCCATCTTTAACATTTTAATTTCCTTTGGCTGCAAACAACATTTGGGGACTGTTACACTAGGCTACTGGGATTGGGAATCTGTACTGCTCTTAAACAATATGGCTTTGTCTCATATTGCCATCTAATGCTTCTTGTTTAGGATTTACCAGATACAATTCATATTGGTGGGAGGATCTCGCCGAAGACAGTCTGGGATTATGTTGGCAAGCTCAAATCTTCTATTTCTAAGGTACTCATTTAAAATCCTGTGTGTAGTAGTGAAGAAGAAAATTGTAATATAAATGACAGAGCTACCACAGTTTTGATGATAGACACTGGATAACACTAGAAATGACCCGAGATCCAAGAATATGATTAAAAGTTCATGCTCCAGATTTTTCTTCAATAGATCCAATTTTTAAACTTCTGTGTTCTGAGCATCTTGAGTTTTTTGATGCTGTACGGTAAAAAATGGCTCAAGCTCCTCAGTTACTCTTTATCTTTGAGTAAATGTTCTAATAAGTGAAACAAAATTTCATTCTTTTGTTAACTGTTTAAACGTGAGTATGAAAGAATAGGAAGTATCATCCAATATATGCAAGAAATGTTACCATTAAAAACACTTGAAAAATGGAAAATGTGCATAATAGAATATGAATTGCTATTGAAATGCATAGTAAGTGTCTTCATTTCATTCGTATTCCCTAAATGTTAATAGCTTTGATATTGAGATATACAGAAGTATAGTATGCTTTTTAAATTTAAAATAATAATAATTTGAGTTAGCGATACCAATGTTGGTTACTGTATTGCCGTTACATTGGAAATTAGTCGTCATTGCCACCATTTATAGATACTGATAATTCCCCAAAGTGTCCCTCCCCACACTTTTTGCTAGTGTAGCAGTAGTTAAACATTTTCCCCTTGTACTTCTGTGTTGTAGGAGCTGTGTTTGATTCGTTTCCATCCTGCAACAGAAGAGGAAGAAGTTGCCTATATTTCTCTCTACTCCTATTTTAGCAGCCGTGGTCGTTTTGGTGTTGTAGCTAATAACAACAGACACGTGAAAGACCTCTACCTGATCCCACTGAGTGCTAAGGACCCAATTCCATCCAAACTCTTGCCCTTTGAGGGACCAGGTAAGCAACAGATTTGTGGGAAGTTAAATAGTACTCCTCTTAATCATACCAACAAGCATTCTGTCTAAGCCAAATGATGATGTTGGATTTAGGTGTAATAGATGCTCTCATGTAAGTACCACTGGAAAAAGTAATCCATTATATAATGACAGTTTTAAAAGAAAAAAAAGCAGCTGGTAAATTGGCAGTAGAGTTGCAATGAGTCAGTTCTTTGCCTCCCAAGATAAAATAGCCTATAATTTATGTAGCATTACCTCTAAAAATCCTGTCCACTATTATGAGTTTGAATTCCCCCATCAAACTAGATATGTTGAGTGATGTCTTATAAAACCCACCCACCTCATCCTGCGTATGACAGCCTCAAGCCAACAGGAAATTATAACTTTTGCCAAGCAGAGGAGTTGAGGTACCTACTAAGATGAAAGGTAATATTTGGAACAGCCTCCACTGCATCATCAGTTTTTGCGAAGTATGACACATGTTTGTGTATGCATGTGTGTGAATGTGTGTGCACATGCATGCTTCAGCTCCACTGTTCTGATGTGAATAAGCAAGCTTTAGCCAGATTATTCAGTCTCACACTAGCTTGATTTAAAAAACTCTAGCTGTGTAATAGGTGGCAGAAAATGAGTGTATAGCCTCGTCATCCTAATCGGACATGTATTTCTCAAATAAACCATTGGTAGCAAAGTTTAGCTTGAGTTTGCTCCTCAGTGAATGTGTGTGGCTTGGCGATTGAGTGAAGTGAGAATGAGGGGGTATGAATTCAGCCCTGAGATGTCATTAATTGGTGTTGAATCTGACACCATGTAAGACTGACAATTAAGAAGAATACAAATTGATTTTCCAAACAAGAGAATTATTTTGGCACAAAGTAGCAACTTAAGAAGCTAACAGAGTATGATTTGCAACCCAAGGATCACTTGATTTGTCATTATAGCCATCTACAAAATGCTGTAAAGTCATGTATCATATCCTGCAGCATGCTAAGCTCCTTTCATGAGAAACTGAATGTCCTCAACTCGCATATCGCAGGAATTAGGGTCTATTTGAATAATAAAATGTTCTCATACACTCCCTTGCTTGTGATGAGGTTTCATAATTGGGCCAGCTCTTGGTGCTCCCTGTTTTTTAAGAAAAAAAATAGTGTATGTATGTGTGTCTGTCCTACACTGTCTCAAAAGTTCAATCTCTGGATCCTCAGTCGCAGAGTGCGAGCAGGAAGTTTTAGCTTTCTAGCTATCCAACTGCAGCTAAAAGGCCAGTATCAGTTCCTTTCTATCTGTCTTGGGCATTTATATGATCCTCATTAGTATAGTATCTGAACACCTTGCAGTCCTTGATATGTTTCTCCTCATTGTGCCCTGCGAGGTAGACAAGTACTGTTGTTATTCCCCATCTTAAGCCTGGGAAACTGAGGGACTCGTATAAAGTGACTTGGTCTAGGTCACAAAGAAGACCTTTGCCTGGGACATGGGAAGCCCAGATTCAGTTCTGTTTTTCAGAGTCGCCTAACCACTGGACCTTTCTTCAGTCACCACAAATGAAATGCACACAGAGTCCTTTCCTCTCTGAGCCATGATGAAATGGACTTCAGCCTATGAAAGCTTGTGTGTGGAGGAGAGAGAGAGAGAGGAGAGTAGTAGATTTAGATATCTAATTTGCTTAGTGTGCATCTAAGATGCAAATCTACCCCACCTTCTCCATGATGAACAAGAAAAGGACTAGCCTACCAATTGTTGCCAAAGAACTCCAGTTCCCTATAAACACAATACCTTAGAAAGGCACTTGCAAAATCTGTCTTTTCTACAAGCCATGTTAAAATCTGACTTTGCTTAGCTTTACACACTTCCTTTATCAGTTTAATAGATTTTATTTAATTGCAAGACTATAGTGTATGTGGTTAAGCTGTTTCACTTAACTTTTCTTAGTTGGATTTTGCAATGTGAACATTTTCTGATTAAAATTTGATTAGGATGGGACAAATCTAAGGGGAAACTCACTTCAGCACTTAAGGGACCCTAAGCACTTTGTGCCAAACTTAAGTGAACTTTATCCAAGACCCAGTTCTCAGTTTAATTAGGCTATAGTTAGACAAATATATATTTCTAAAACGTTGTCTTGCTATTGAAATCTTTCTCAAATTTCAGAATTTAACTAACCCTTTATTATTGATATTTCAACCAACACTTATTTTAAAATCAGCATTATTTTTATTGACTATTTGGCCATTCACAAACAGAAACATTGTTTGCTTGTGGGTTTTTTGGTTTTGTAGTTCTGTTGGGGGGGGTATAGACGATACTTTCTTAAGTTGGTAACAACTTTGAATTCCTTGGACTTGCGTACCCAACTTGAGACAGTAGGGGCCTTAATATTAGTCTCAGAGCCTGCAAATCAGGTCTGTTCAAGGCATCTCAGGCTGGACATCCCAAATCATTAGTTACTTTTGGAAAATCTCGGCCTATTGTGATATGTACTTTGCGGTACAGGTACCTCTGATTCTTTTTTTTTACTATTATTTTTGCCCTCTCTGCTCCCTTGTTGACAAGGATTCTTGTGTTTATAGAAGCACAAGGTCTCTAGAGGAAGGGGAGCTCATTTGTCACTCAAAGCATATGTTTTAGGTTTGCTGTTGGACTCCAGAAAAATGTATATCAGTCCCCAGCAACCTTTAATTGTTAGTAGGGATGCAGGGGGTGAAATAAGGGATTTTTTTCAGTCAAATGTTCTATTCTAGATAGGTGATGATAACAACGTTTAAAGAACTGTGACGTCTTCTTTTCATTTCTCTGTTTTAGTTTGCCAAAATATTTCCTGGTTATCAAAAACTAGTGTTGGGAAAATTTAGCTTGTTGAGGTTAGATAGTTGCATCTGAAAGGATTTTTCTAATATATTTTAGTAATATTGCTCTTCAGCATGCCTATGCACAAATTAAAACATTTTGGGGGTGTCAGACTAAGCTAACTAGTATTTTAATAGGATTAGTTCAACATTTGTATTGATTTATAAACAGGAGAGTCTGAAAATTTAGTTGAAGGAGAAATGGGTACCACTTTTCGGTATAGAAAGAGAGGGCAAATAATTTAAAAGATTAATTTTTATGATCCTTCTACTTTTGCCAGTAGTTTACTAACAAATGTGAAATGATTTTAATAGTTATACTTAATTGCATTAAAATTTTTAACATGCATAGTAAAGGAGTAGTGAGGGTTTTCAGGTAAGCACATTTTTCTTCTCTGAATATGTCTATGTATTAAAATTATTCCTTAAAATAATGTAATCCACATTTTCAGATATTCAAATGGAATTTATCGTTCATTCTTTTTCTTCATAATCAATAAAAGTACTTTATGGAAACTGGTTGTTGTCTCTTAATTGAATGCCGTAGTAGTCGTTTGTAACAGTCTCATTGTACCTTTAATTACAGTTTAACAATACACAAAGTATATCAGAAAGTCTGTGATGGAAAATACAATCATAAGTGAGCAAGTAGCTGTGGTAAACAAGATAACATTTTTTTTTAACTGCCATTCCAGAAATACTAGCTAGAAAGTATGAGAATTGTGCAGAATTACAGACTATGCGTTTTCTGTTAGGCTGATATTGGGACACATCTAATGACATCCTGAAAAGATGTCATACCTAGAAACTTCACAAAAACAAACATCCCCCCCCTTTTTTTTAATTAGGGTTTAAAAATGGAAAGTGGGGGAGACATGTTCATTAGTTATATCCAATACTTCAGATAATGAGTACTTCTATCATCTGGCTCTTCTAGGTGGTTTTTTTTCTACTAGAAGTTTGTTGCATGTTGATGTTTCACATCCAGATAATTGTCTGAGTTTCTCATACACACAATGAACACTTTGTGGGGAGCACCTTTCTGAAGCTCTCAAAATAATTTTGCAAAGGAAGGTAAGCAGTTGTACTGAAAAAAGTGCAAAGATGTTCTACTGTGCCTTTATCCACTGGAGTCGGCTGCCATATAACATGGATTGAATTTAGCAGGAACGCAGATCTAAATGAGGAAGACATATTAGAAGCTTTAAAATGGTGCGTCTGATGGCTTCATGTTTACCGGTAATGTGTTTTTCAGTATGATCACCCTTCACTTGTTAGGAGTCTTATTTGAGGAATCATTTTTGTTAGGCGGTTTCACTTAAGGCATCTAACCTATCCTGCTGCACCACAGCAGGTTTCATTGATCTTTGAATTGTACCTAAAAAATGGGTCAGATTTGATCTCAGATATCTACTGAGGGTAATGTCATGGTATTTTCAATAGCCGTTTTCTGTATTGTGTCATTTTTTTGTATTGTATGCCTATGGATCCTGCTTTTGGACTAAGACCCCATGCTGCTACGTGCACATGTTTAGTGTCTTGCTTTAACATAACTCCATTACTACTATTTTCCCTCCAAGTTTGACAGAAAATGTCTCCCTGTCCATTTTATATAATTTCTTTTTAAATATTATTGAAAGTCCTTTTTATATTTTTCTGTAAATTTAATGTAATTGTAAGACTTTTGGGGAAAAAAAATCCTTTTTTTTCTTCAGCTGCTCCTGGATTTTGTCTGTTCTTAAGATACAGTATCTAGAGCTTTAGACACTGTATTCCCATGCAGGTCTAATGTGTTCTGAATGAAACTGGAGTTACTATATATTCTGTTCTTACAATCACAATTCTATTATAATCATTTGTAACGATTTCTTTTGTTGTGCCATGGTTGCATTTGACCCCAATTCAGTAATGCCATCACAAACATCTGTATCTCCCTACTTCTTCACTTGTGTTTTCTCCCACTGAACATTCATGTCTATTTGTTCCTTCAATCACAATACACTCGCATCTGACTTTGGCTTCAACTCTTCTCTCTTTATTGTCTATAAATAGGATTAGCATATTCTCAAACCCGTCCACTAGGCTTGTAAAGAAAACAGCAAATAGTCATAGAGCCAGAGTGGACATCTGCAGCTTGCAACTTCTCTTGCAGACT